TTCAGCAGCAGTCGCATTGGCAGGATGCAGGCCATCATCACCCGCAGCCACTTTGAGATCATTTACATTGGCTGTTGCGACATTAGCAGCTGGCATTCCATTAGGCATAACACGGAAGGGCAGGGCCACTGGGTTCGGCTGCGTGGAGGGCTGATGCTGCCTGTAATTAGAATTCGTGTTCGGGAGTGGGTGGGGGCTCACTGTGTGTGGCTGCGTGGCTCGCGGATGCTGCCTGTGTGCAGAATAAGCATTCAGCAGTGGGTGTGCAGTAGACCAGCGTACCATGCAGCAATACCAGTTCGAGAGCTAGCCGACGCTGCCGGCCACGAACGTATATGTAGTCCCACCTCTGCTCACGACACTGGGAGGATGGCCCCCAGCGAGCATACATCATGTCAGGAAGGTCATTGCAGCTTCAAAGTCGGCAGTATTGTTGCAGATATACTCGAACCTCGTCAGCTGTCCCGCAGGCTGATGAGCTGGGGCATTGGAGGAATCACTGGGACAACGTATGACGGGAAATGTCCAAGCCTCAGCCTTATCAAACACACCAATGCGAAGTGATTAGTATAGCCGAACCAAGATTCTTGCTCCGTCTGTGTGTGTTGTCATGATCGTTATACAAGAAAAGCACGATTGTGCACGACCGTTTGTTTGTTGTGTGTGTATGCATATGCATTTGGGACCATTCAAAGTGTATCTTCAAAAATGAGTAGTTCTTCTCACCTTAAAACAATGTCCCTCCTCGACCCTGATTTCCGAGACAGCTCAAAAAGAGAGCGTACAACAGGAAGGTGAAAACTTAAAACTCCAACGTGCACAGCATCCGCAGGCAATTCTTCATTCCTGGCCATTGATCTTCGTGATCTACGGTCAAGAAGAAGAAATCCAAACATGTGGGCCTGATCCCTGGGGGGTTTGCAGTCACGGACCGTAATAGGATAGCAGAGCTCGTTTACAGTGATATTCTTACAATAATTGATGACAAAGAAAGAAGGACGACGACGGATGACGACGAAGACAAAGATGGAGGAGAAGGAGGAGGACGACGAAGACAAAGAAAGAAGGACGACGACGGATGACAAAGATGATGACGACGACGACAACAACCACAACGACCACAACGACGACAAAGAAAAAGAAGGAGGAGGAGAAGAAGAAGAAGAAGAAGAAGGAGGAGGAGGAGGAGGAGAAGAAGGAGAAGAAGAAGAAGAAGAAGAAGAAGAAGAAGAAGAAGGAGAAGGAGAAGGAGGAGGAGGAAGAGGAGGACGAGGAGGAGGGTCCCTTCTAGCCATCCTCACCGCACCAAACCAAGTCCAGGGGTAAAACTTAAGCACTTTATGCAGAAGTGCCATTTCGTTGCCTTCATCTTCCCCCCCGGAAAGAGAGTACACCGAGAGGGACAGGTGTTTCTGGGTGAAATCCAAGCCTCAAATATCCTGAGCAAAACAGCCCAAACAAAAAAGAAAAAAAAGAGCACTATGCTCGAACTCCAAACCTCCCTCGACTTTCCTTGTCAGCTGCAGTACACTCTTCCTTGCCTCTCCAACCCCCCTCTGCCACATGGAGCAACCACATGACAACACATTGTAATACACATACATTAGTCATACAACAACATGCCTTAAGCTTTCTTCTAGCTCTGTTAGGCTAACTCCCTCATAAGACATAGTCGAAGCCAGCACTCAGCGCACCGTTGCTTCTGACAATACCTCTGAAGTTTCGATGAATCAGGCTTGAATATTTCACAGAAGATGCACATTGGATCCACAGCCCCCGCGTCAATACTTTTCAGCGAGTGTCCAACCAGCACTCGCCATCACCCTGTTATGCGCTTGAAGATCTGCCAAACGAGCTATGCGGTGGCCGCGGTTGAAGGACCTGATAGTGTTCTATCCACATAGCTCATCAGAGAAAAATGAACCCTTGGTGGCTTGTGGCGATCGGCCACCCTACAAGAAGACTGTTAGTTGACATGCTCCATAATCAAGACCCATCTACTCACACACTCCAAAGTGAAAATGGTGAAAAAAGTGAAAACGGTGAAAACAGTGAAGACAATGAAAACAATGAAAACAGTGAAAACGACCACTCACTCCAAAGGTAGAAGAGGTAAACAGTGAAAAAAGACATTGGACAGGACGCAAAGCAGCATTGCTCCCTTGTCCATTCAGCTCAAGACCCTCCGACACATACCTCTTCTTTTCGCAAATGAAAATGTGACATGTCCTTCTGGCAGCACCCCTAACCGCAACTCTCCATGCCCCCCCCTCCTCCGTGAGATATCTCTTTTGCATTGCATCCCTTGTCGCCAAAACCTCACAGTTGTGCTTCTGGATGTCACTGCATTCATGAACTGATCAGCTATTCACTGAATGCTGCGTATGAAGACCAGATCATGCCTGCACCCCTTCTGTGCTGTAGGCAGCGCAGCATGCAGCGCCGTAGCGCTGAATATGATCCTTGCGAATACCTCCCTGTCTGACAAAAGTTAGTGAAATAATACAGCAGCAAAAACATCCCGTATACCGCTAAGCGTACATTTCTGAAAGCTTTATTCCTTGGCACCTGCTTTTGCATCAAACAGCAGTCGCTCTGACAAGCGACACTCGCGAGAAGCAACCCACTCCAAGCTGGAGGCTTTCCTACACTGCTGCTGGCAACGACACATTCAATGACGATACCGACGAACCCGATTTTCTAGATAGAAATGCAAAACTCTCCGTTTCTTTCCCTCATCTCCAGCTCCATGCAACAATGCCTAAAACCTAGCGAAGGTGAACTACAATAACTCAAACAGAACTACATCCATCATTTCAAATCCCCTTTTGCCACGAAATTTACCAATACAGCAAAATGAAGGATTCAGCAACCATTCTTGGCCCCAACAGCCAAAATTATTTCAAGGTCTGGGAAGGAAAAAAAGAAGAAGACAGAAAGGAAGAGAGACTTTGCTCTCCCCGTATCTCTACAATTCTAACACAGACGTAAGAACGCCACCATGCTTCCACTTATGTAAGGTTGTGCTTCAGCAAGGATACGAACTCTGCAGATGATGCTAGAGATCATCCACGTCCACCCGTTGGCGAACTATATACAGCAAAGGCAAGACAGGAGGAAACCCTGCACAGAGGCCGCACATACGGACAGCTGAACGCCTCCATAAGCAACAGAACCATCAGCACAGAGACCCATCCCATCAAGCAGCATGATTACCACTTGCTTCAGCAGTAGCGAAACCCTAAGCCTATCGATGGCGGATGAGATAATTGCACAAGACCAAGGAGCCGCGGGCTTATGTTGGGGTGTGCAAAAGCATGCTGGGGTGAGCAAACGCACGAACGGCCACAGTCCATAACTCCGTGCCCCTATGATACGATCACACATCTCAGGGCATATTCACACTAGGAATTTCCGGGATACATATAAGAACCACTTTTCCGACCTGAACTGGATGCACCTACCTGACTGCAATTGCATCCACAGAGAAGCGGAAAAAGTCCTGGTTTGAGTACGCCCTCAGATGCAGCAGAATCCTCAAAAGATGGAAGAATCGCGCCGCCTACGAACAGTCTTTTTTCTGCCCCGAAACATATTTCCAACCCTTGTCGTCATAGCAACGTTTTCCCCGATTCCTCACACTGATGATCTCACATTCTCCATCATCCTTGACGTCCACCTTATCGCCCTTGACAGCGACTTTGTTGTCAGGTTCTTTTGTAAGATCCAGAAACGCAGGACTAGCACGTCGCGCACCATTAAACCCCTCTCGCTTGGGGCGTTTCTGTTCGGACTCCAGCAGAAGGACGAGGGCTACCTCGTCATCGCGGCCATGGTTCCTCTGCAGGGTCCTAGGTTGCACGAACATTGCCTGATCTCTTGTCCCATGGCGTTCAGCATCCGTGTCCACAATGTCTGTCTCTCTACAGCTTTCATCCCCACGACACGCCACACCATGTGAATCGAACAGCTGAACTAGACCAAAGTCTGTGTCTGCCTTAACAGCCATGAGCACTGCACCATGCCCATTCAATATCCCACAGGCATTTTCAAGTTCCGTCAAGCCTCGCTGCCCAGGGTTGATCCCTCGCCTATCTGTCAAGCCTCGCGGCGAGGAAGCCGTTCTATTGGTAAGCGGGGACAGAACATTAGACCTCTTGTTCCCAGCTTGGGTTCGCTTTGGCAGTAAACGAACATGATCCGGATTCCCTGGGTCAAGTACTTTGCGGAGCATTAATGTTTCCGCCGTTTCACATCGCAAATTCAATGCCAGAATCGCCGTGCTTGACACTCTCCTTAAATGGTATGCTCTCTTCTTCTCCCCCGACCGAAATATGAGCTCCTCGCCTGCTTTCACAGAAAGACTAGGGGCTGTGTAGAATTTTTTGTCGTCCTCTTCGGTCTGTACCAGCACCCCTGGCCCAGGGCCCTCCGCATTGTCGATGATGGAACTGCGATGATGCCCTCGAGACTTGCAAACTTTGCACCCACGTCCTCTACACTCGATCCTGTCCGCACGGTAGAAGTGCACAGACAGCTTACCTAGCTTGGCAGTAGCATCATACTCTCCTGGCTGCTGCTGGTTGCTATCCCTTACAACTTTCTGCGGTGGTGCAAATTCGAAGCGTCTGTAGATGGATGTATTTCCCCGACCAACGAGAAATCCTTTGAATGTACGCCAGGAGGAGGGCTCACCCTTTATATCGTACCCCAAATCTTTGCCGTCGACTTCCAGTTTTGCGATATAATAAGCAGATGAGCAAGCAAGGGAGCGACATCGAACCTCAAAGCTTTCTGAAGGAACAGCGACCACAAGGGAGCATTCAGGGCCTTCAACTTCGGGGTACGCATCTCCGGCCAAATTCACCACCCTCACCTCAAACTGGGACCCATCGACAATTTTGCTGACGCCCATCTTCTTCACAATCTGAACAGAGAATTCAAAATGTTGTGTTGCGAGGGAGCCACACGCTCACAAGGACCTGAATCATCATACACAGAGCCAAAGGAAATAAGCTCCATGCGCAACATACCACGCAACTACATGGAAGATTCAGGAGCAAATACCGTGAACACAGCTACGCTTTCTTCTCAAGTGAAAACGAGTGCAGAGAGTGGAATGGATGTACGTATCCACAGGAAAAGAAACAGAACGGATGCACAAGTAGGATGACGAAGCGCACACCTACCTATCCCTAAAACCCTAAGCCCTGCCTAGTGTCCAGCTGCGCTCATGCTATTTGCTGCTGAATTTTCCATGTAGTTAAAGGCCCCAATACCCCGGGTTGAGATGTAGCGGGATTTCGGGCATCCTTTTATTACGTTTGGCGATATAAATTCCTTTTGAAAAAAAGGAAAAAGGATGAAGAAAGCACCCTACCGACCAGCCCAGCTCAGTTGGTACGAATACAGACCTAACTTCGAATCCAGATGCAATCGGATGAACAGAATAAAATAGTCAAGACAGAAGAAGAAAACAAAAGGATGAAGAAGCACAGCCTTGCCAGGGGCAAAGTAGCCGGACTGATGCCCCCAAGAATGGAAACTAAGCCAGGGCCGTAAGGACCTGTTTTTCAGAAGAAAAAAAAAAATAGAGGCCTTTTTCTGGAAGTTATGCCCAGGTACACACCCAGGTGCCCAGTCAGGCATGAGCCCCGGGCAGGGTTCCAGGAAGCCTCAGCGCAAAAATAAAAAACAAAAAGAAGTCCAGGGAAAAAAGTGTTGTGTAGAATAGCAATGGAAACGACTTTTGGCTGACGGTCACATCAGACTTCCTCGCGGAATCCAAGATAAATAAATAAATAACAGAACCACGCTAAGGCGGCCCGCTCTAAACCCCTTTAGCCCCTTTAAAACCAATTTATGGACCCCTTCCCCACCCTTTGACAGCCAACACTCGATAAAAGAAAAGAGCCCCGATTTGAGCACCCCTGGTCATGCACGGAAAACCCCAACCACCAAAAAGCCAAAAAAAGAAATCCGCCCCACTTATCCCCACTCCCAGATACCCTGGGCGTCAGAGACCCCCCGGCGCAACACGCCCAGGTGCCCAGGCGGGCACGCCCACCGAGCGATCTTCCTGCCAAAAAAAACAGAAAAAAGAAGAAGAAAAAAAACCAGCCTTGACGAACATCACATAGTATACAGAGAGTTTCACTCAGCTCTACTTCCTTTCACCAATTTCCTTTTTGCACAAAAGCTTTCGGCAGCAGTTGCTTCGTCTCTTGCATTTATTAAATTTATTTTGCTTTTTTTTATTTACAGTAACAAGGTATGTGCCCAGGCAACCAACATTTACTAACATTTATTAAATTTATTTGACCAACAACAAGGTAGGTGCGACCTAGCCCCTGGACCTTGCTTTGCCAGGCTGTGCCCTGGCAACGAACATGACTCGGACGGCACGGTTGGTAGCCCAACTCCACAGGGGGGGGGRGGGGGGGGGGGGGGGGGGGGGGGGGGGGGGGGGGGGGGGGGAGATGGAAAATAGAAGGACAAGAAAGGAAAAGGAGCTTGAGAGCAAGTGGCCTAGCTCAGTTCGTTAGGCGCTCAAGTGATCTGCAAATCCTTCAATCAAAAGTTCTGACAGCAAACACTTCTGCAGGAATTACTTCAAAGCAGCTCACGTACACTCAAGGAAGCACCACCCACCACAAGAGTCGACACCATAGACAGCAAGGATGGCATCAACATAGATTGAGATTGGGAGGACGCCATTGACACAGATAGAGAGTAAGAAGACGAAGGAAGTCAATACGACAAGTACTCCCGAGCTCGACCTTGATAGGTCGTTTAAAATTAATCACCGAAAACATCGACCCATCAAAGACAGGCATCGTGCAATCATAATCGGCAGTTTCCTGCCAAAGAGTGCCAGCCAGTCCTGGCGCGACCCATCAAGTGGCATTCAGGTCATGGGTTCAATCCCTACTGACCACCTGCAGCACTCTTGGTGCCAACCAACTGAGATAGTTGGCTTGCTCCCCCCATTACGTATTGGTTGGGTCTTTGGCCATCACGGGTGTGTGTGTGTGGGTTATACGGGAGAGTGCTGGCTATAGACACTGCTGTCACTCGATGGGGGTGGGAGAAGTAGATGGGAGGTGCAGCTACTGGCAAAGTGCTTGGTCTTTGCATTGCATCCCCCCCCCCCAACCCCACCCCGTCTTCCTACTCCCTGACCACCACCGATTAGAGGGGGGGGGGGGGGCAAAATGCATCATTTTAGATCCTGTCTCTTATACACATCTAGATGTGTATAAGAGACAGGCTACTGGCCAAATGCTTGGTCTTTGCATCAGCTGTCCCCCCCCCCCCCCCCCCCCCCCCCCCGCGGCCCCACCCTCTCCCTGACCACCACTGATGTAGGGCGAGGGGCAACATGCATCCCCTAGCTAAGCTCGCAGGGGTCCCCTGTATACGCTTAGGAGTAATGGCAGGTAGGTAGTGAAAGGTGAAATTGAGAGAAGAATATAGCTTAGTTTAAAAAAGGAAAGGGGGAAAAAAAAAACGAGCTTGATCCACCTGGGAAACCTCGTCCGCATAAAATGTTTTTCTTTTCCCTTTCTTCTTTTTTGAGACAAGGTTATCCCCAAAATAAAAAATCAAAAAAATTGTAGTAATTGTCTGGTCGTCTAATCCAATCAGTATTCAAACGTGTGAGGTGTTTGCTACCACATGGACTGCGTCACAAAACCCTCAAAGTAATAAAAATAACCATGTACAGAAAGTGGAAACATGCATCGCACCAACTCCCTAAAGAAGCACAATTTTTTTTCTTTTTTTCTTTTTAAGTTCATGACCAAAGAACAAAACACCTATTGAAAGACTTTCGGACCATTATCCCTGATATCGCTGCTGCAAGGGAGGCTGGACACAGTTTCCAGCTGGGGTATGTAGAAACTAAAGGGGATAATTTGCAATATACCCCCCAAAGAGGAGATATATGCCAAAATGCCCCTACAACACGTAGCTTGAATCGAATACCCGTCCGACAAAAAGAAAAAACCTTTGTGAAATACCCCTCGCATCGGTAGGACCTGTCATCTTTTCAATATACCCCTACCAGGTATTGTCCAAGTTTCCAGAATACCCCAGTGGCCAGTTGTCAACTTTCCATGGGCCAACTTGAGTTTGAAAATGCCCCTAGCCGCCTCTGCCATGTTTTTGTTCACTTGCCGTTGGAGGGGCAAATAGGACCAGCA